TGATGGAGAATTTTTTGCTAACTACAAATCAGTGCCAGCACAATTCTCCGCCACCCTTTTTGAGAACAGGGTGTTTTTCTTTTTGTTTTTTGTTTTTTTGTTAGTGAGAATGTGGATATGTGGCTCCAATCCGTTCCTTCTGGGAGAACTGAGGAATTAAGAATTACTCCCTGATTCAAAACATTTTAAATCAAAAGGAGCCTCTCTATTGACTCTAATGGATATTGGGTCAGGCCTTTCTCTTTTGTCCTGAGGGCTCATATACAGGGTTCCCCCCAGGATTCCATCTTGCTATCCTTCCTGTTCAGTGTTTATAGGGGAGTCCATGAGCCTATGACTTCATCAGGGCGCTGACACCCATTCTTACATTACCATCTCTTCCTGCCCGCTAGTGTAGCGGAATCACTTGCCTGGTATCTAATGGAGATTTTTGGGTATAGATGAGGGCTAGCTGGATAAAACTCAACGCAGAAAGGAATGGGAGCACTCAGAGTGAGTGAAATACCGTGCGGGGGAAAAGGTAGAAACTGTATGTGCACCCTGGAGTGAGGGTGCTGGGTTTGCCTCCCAGTTGTTGCAAAAGTTATTGGATCCCTGACTGCTTCTAAATACCTGGGCAGTGACAGTTATCAAAAGTGCTTTCTGTTTCCTTGCAGGTAGGCGTCTCCGTGGTCATTGATTGGGTTACTACAATGCCCTCAGGCTAAGCCTTCAAGAGATTCAGAAATTGTACCTAGTGGAAAATGTCTTGGCCTCTGTTCAGAGACCTGTATTTCATGATCTGTCTTGGGTACCAGTTGATGACTGGATCCTGGCTACATGAAGTACTCAGTTCTTACAGTCCACACGCTTCAATGCAAGTCGGCTAGCAGCAGTGTTCTACACTGAGGGCCTTTACTTCAAAATTATCCGCCTCACTCACCTATTAGTCTGCCAGATCCCAGGTATGGTGACCGTCAGGGCATGCTGCTGGACTTCTCTTCTCCCAGGCTTTACGGGAGGCAGTGGATAGACTGAGCAAAGAGATGGATTGTGGGGTGGAGTTCATTCTTAAGCTAGAGGTCTTGAGGATTTTCATGGTGCTTTTCTGTTTATTCTTAAGCATATTAGTGATTTTAAATACAATGGTGAGGAAAAATAAATAAAAGTACCAAATTGTCTAAAGTATACTTTATAGGTATCTAGTTTCTCTTTTAGGTGACAACTGTAGCATAGTATAAGGTTACCATCTGTCACTTCATTTTGCTAATATGCTGGTGTCTCTCAGAGATTCATATAATTTTCATTACATTTAAATGAATATAACTTTTGATCCAGTTTAAAAACATAACAGGCCTTGTATCCTAACTATAACTTCAATGAGTTCATTGCTGCTTGAGTATAGAGAAGGGACTACTTTCTAAACAGTAATTTAAAAGGGGTTAGTTAGCCTTTTAAAGTAGAATGCACCTGTTGTACACTATTAGTTAATGTGTTAAGTGATCTTAAATATATGTGTCAAAAATATGGTTATACTTTCATTTAAAAAAATCTTAAAATCATATAATTGGCCGAATTAATTCAAGCTGATTAGTGTAGTGGCCCATTCTCCATGACTCAGGATTGCTAAAACTAGGAATAGCTTCAGTGGTGAGAAGAGGAGGTATTAAATAGTTTGAGAAGCTGTTTTCACTGTGCTCATTCTGCTATATCCAAATATAGATCTTGCTGCTCTACCTCCACCATCTACTTCCTTCCCCTCAAAGGAAAAATTACCCTTTCTTTTTTAAATAGTCAGTATGTCAGTAACCTTGTAGTCTTGATATTCATGTCCGATTAACAAAGATAAGTTTTCTCCCTGAGAGAGAGAGAGCATTAATTAACTTGTCCAAGTTCAAGACTGTTTAATTTTTAGGTAGAGTAGAATCACCTTAGCAGCTTCACGTGTTAATAGGAGCTATCAGGTGAACAATGCAACCCTTCTCCAATCTCAGTTGTATAATATATGTGCATAAATTGTGTTATGAAAAAAAAGGTTGAAAACTGAGTATTACAAGATAAAGTACTGCCCCTCTCCTTTTTAAAAGAGTAATTCTGTACTGTACAATGTTTTGTTGTTAAAATAAGCTTGGCACCATTGTACAGAATAAGAGCTGGATTCAAAACACTTCATGCTTTACAAGTTTAAGGTCTGTAAATCTTCATGCACATCTTTCACACTAGATGAATATCGGCACATAATTTTAGGACCCAGCTATATTGAAATCGGGTCTGAAATTTTAATGAGGCATGTGACTGTGAACATGGGATCAGTGCCTCTTGCATACAGTGATCTTAGTGTCACTACCACACTAGGGAGAAATTAAAAAACTGAAATCAGGATTAAAATAAACTGTGTATGGCGTTGGGGTTCTAGCGTGGTGACTTGCATATGACAGAATACTGCCAAACTAATCGTTGGCATATAATCAAACAACGTTTCAATTTTAGTTACTTGCTATAGGTTAATATTTAAATCCCCTCTTTAACTGGTTCTGCAGGATTTGATTATATTCTAAACTATTGAGCAGCCCTGTAGTTATATCAAGGTTCATGCTGCCAAGGATTTTCAGTAACAGTCTTAATCTTAATCTTTTTCCTGTAGCTTAATCTCCAATATTTGAGAACTAGAACTGGTCATTTCAGGACATGAAACGTGCTTAAAGATTAGGTCCTTTCATCTTCCTTTTGTGCAAATGTAGGTTAGTGTTTCATGTTGCCAAGTTTAAAGGGGCACTGTCAATTTTAAAATCTACTCCATTTCAAAAAAATTAATGAAATACTTGCAGGTGTTGCTTCTGCCTTGGAATTCGAATGCTAGTTTTTGTAACTTTACCATCACACTTTCCAATTCTAAAAAATATTTTTTTTCTCCCTGTTTTGTAAAAAAAAAATCCATAAGAGTAAGTTAACCCAGTAAACTAGTTGTACACAAATTGCAGTCAAACACACAGGGTAAACAAACTGAAAAACAGAGAAATCTTGCAGTAATCTTAGGTGATGGATTTTTTTAACTACTATTACAGGTAAGACAGAAAAGTAACTTTTAGGTGGAGAGTCCTTTTAGTTATCCTTTAAAATTTTTTTGACAAGCTTCATTTTATTCTGTTTGCAAGAGAGAATCAAAATTTGCTGGTATAACTAATGCTTTAGATTCTACAATAGCGTATGCCACAGCTGTGCTCCATATTAAGAATATAATATGCTGGACTAGCCATCTCACTTGCACTCCACAGGCTGCCAGTGCGCTTTCCTCCTTTGTCTGCTTGCCACTTCCCTTTGACACCACTGCTGTTCCTGGCTCCCCTCGTTCCAGACTCAGTCCCTTCACGTGCTGTCTGTCTGCTTGCCCGTCCTAATTGCTCACTCTGCTTGGAGTTTTTCAACTCCCAGTAACTTGTAGGTTATCTTCAGACCTGATGCTTCTGTTCCCATAAGAAATTACTTTAACTGTATTTTTGAAGACTTTGACTGAAGTATGTATGCATGTGTGCAGGCTCATGCTCTTTCTGACCAGCTTCTACCCATTCCATTTTTCAGGATGTCTTTAGTTGTGCTTTTATACCTAGCATGCACCTAATTTAGATTAGTGAGAACCCTGACTTATTTTGCACATGTGTAAACAGAGAAACATCAATATTTCTGGTCCATTGGGAAAACTAGGCTCCGTGATTGCTTGTCTGTCACTGTGGAGAGTTCCATGCCTAAGAGTTTCATAGGCTGCAGGTTTTCCAAGTGACCCACTAATGTGGATTCAGCACCTATCAAAAAGGCACTGATCTGGTTCTGATGTAGTACCTCCTGAGAGCATTTGTGTTCAAGAGCTAACTGTTTTTGGGAACAACCATAGTCTATTTAAAGAGCCTCCTCACTGGATGTGTAATGTTAGTGTAAAAAAAAAAAAAAGGCTTTGACTTCTGTGCAAACAGAAGACTCTCTTGCTGGGATTATAGTTTAGTGTTCTTCCTGGTTGTAAGGTGGGGATGTAGAAGGGATTTTGGGGGTAATCAAACAGGTGTGTTTTCCCACTCTCCTCCCCATTGGCCAACTGGATCCATAGTTCAAGTACAGGGAATGAGGTTCTGGTGCTCTGTTTTGTTTTTTAAGTGGTCCTTGTGCTCTAAAATGATCCAGAATGTGCAATCTTCTGTCACTAATCAGAGAAAAGACCCCTCCAGAGAAAGGGGACTAATGGATTGTTTGGTAAAGATTAAAATACTTGGTGGTGTTCTCTTGTCTGCAGCATTCGAAGGTAGGGCTGGAATACCTGTCTGGGTTAGAGGTTTACATGTGGCAGGGGAATAAAAATGCAATACAAGTGGTTATAATCTGCAAAGGGAGATCTCTCCGCCTATTGGTCTGCTGTGCTACTGGGAGCTGCAGAAAACGCTTCTCTTGAAAAGGTTTCTACAGGCACACAGTGGTATGGGGAGGGGGCTTTTGTTTGCTGAATCAGCTAAGGGTATGCCTCCCAGGTAGTCTTGTCTCGTGTATCATGGGATTAAAAAGGTAGCTCCTGGCAACTCCAGCAGAGCTCTAAAACAAAAACAATGAACTAGAGAAGTGAAGAGTTCATGTATGAACCTCATTGAATCTTAATGAGGGGCCAAATGGATTTAGTTCTGCAGTACTGCTTTACAGAGCAACTTTTCTACGCTAGCTCTCTCCTTTAAGTGCTGTGCTGTAGATTGACCGACTGGGATTGACCTAAAAAATTGCAGTGCACTCACTCCTCATCTCACTAGTTTAAAAGAAATCCATCTGATCTGACTTGAGCTATTGCTAGTCCTTGAAATCATGCACCACATGATCCATTTTAAGTTATTCATAGGGGTCTTTATCAAGTGCCAGCTCTTCAGTGTGTGGTTTCTTGCTTGGCTTTTATTTTAACTGTGATAGATGGCAAACGTATGCATAGTCATTCAGCGCAGCATGGAAATATTGCTGGCATTGATTTCTCTTAAATATTTCTTTTACTGCAGACTAACGAGTGGAATAAGAATGACGACCGGCTGCTGCAAGCTGTGGAGAATGGAGATCCAGAGAAAGTGGCTTCACTGCTGGGGAAAAAGGGAGCCAGTGCCACCAAACAGGATAGTGACGGCAAAACTGCGTAAGTCTGCCTACTTTTAAAACTTTTTTTCAGTGTCCTCAAGGGATGAGGAAGACTGAGACCATTCGCTGGGAGCACGTTCCATTTGCAAATTGGCCTTAGTAGCTGCAACTACAAAATAATGATCAGCCTGAAAATGGTCCCTCTTTCCCTTCGTCCTAATGCATTACAGGTTAAACAATTTTTTTCTGTTCCAGAGCTGTATTTACAGTTTGTACTTAAAATATCTATTTAGAATTTCAGGCCATTTGGTGACATGGGTCTAGATTGCTGGGCTCATTGGCAGCTCCCTCGGGAAGAGACTTTTGGCACTTTGGGATGGCCACATTCCATGGTGCAAGCTCCAAACAGGCAGAATGGTATTTCATTAAACCTTTGGGGCTACTTTCCCCCATGCAGGTTTGGTTTAGTTACACTGCAAAACTGAAATGGTAGTTGCTTTAATGGGTGCTTTAATGCTTTGAATCCATAATATTGTAACAGGGATTTAAGCCTTACAGAACCTAAAGCACTGGGCTTCCCATTGTGATTGGTGTTCGAGAACAGCGCCTGTGCAGAAGAGCTCTTCATCTCTTTGGAAAAGTGAAAGTAGCATTTACTCCCCTCTTCCCTACCCCTTTTTCCTTTTTCTCCTCTTGTGAAAACTTCCTAACTTGCTTACGGGAGCGCAGGGGATTACAGTCTGTCCCTCAGACCTTTCCTTTTGATAGCATATAGAAAACATGAACAAATGAGGAAATCGCTCACAGCCTGGCATCCCATGAGAAAAAAGGCTTTTAAAGATTGCAGGTGGGGGGGGGGGGCGGCAATCATCCTGTCTTGGGAGAGGCAACACAAAACCATTTCTACCAAGTTCTACGGTACTACCCTAGGCTGTATTTATGGAGTCATGCTGTGCTTCCCACTTGGTCTGTTTCAGTTTGCCACTTCTATTCTATTTCTGTTCTGCATATGAGGAATATTAAATGATGGCAATGACTCATGATGACTTGAGACTTTCTTACCATAGAAGTCTGTGTGTTCTAGTTTCTTCAAGTGGGCGTTTCCATATTTTAATATGGGTTTTACTTGAACTTACATGCACCTTTTTCTTTTTAAACAAATAATTTGAGATAATTCAAAAGATACAACTGAAGTACTTCAACAGCTATTTTCATTAGATATGTCTAATGTCCTCATTTTTACCCAATCGTAAATTAAATAAAACTATAATTTAGAGCCAGTTTCTTTTTTAGAATTAACTCCACTGTATCCGGTATAACCTTTCTTCTACTTAGGGAGTCAAACCGGTATTTATTTTGGTTTTGTTCGGGTTCAGTTGCATTCCGTGTGTTCGGGTTCAGTTCCAGTTCAAGCCACCAAAGAAAACAACAACCGAGTTTGGTTACCACTTTGAACTGGTTCAAATCAAATTTTAATCTCAGTGGACGTAATCTCAAAAAAGAGAGCTGAAACTATTTTGATTTTTTTTAACTTTGCTTGAGTATCTTCCTAGTGTTTCTGTGTTGTCAAATAACGCAGTTATTTTTATGAACAATTTATTTTAGCAAACTAAAATAACATCTTCTAATATTTGCTGTGTTATACTGGACCTCTGGTGAAAGGATACATTTGAGTTTGGGGCAACTGGAGGGAGGAGCTGCCCCAGGGGATGGGGATGGTGAGAGGAGACCTGTCTAAGAGGGAGAAGGGTTGGGGAGCCATTACCTTTTTCCTTGGGCTTGAAGAGTTATTAACTTCTTGGCCCAGGGATCATTTCACCTCTTCTCTCTCCCTGGGGACTGGTGGGAATGGGTGTCTCAGATATTGTTTATCTATTTCCTGGTCCCCTTGCTGCCTCCTGGTGTACAGGCAGCTCCTTGAGCTTTCCCTCTCCCTCCCTCCTCTTGTGCGTTGACCTCCTTCTAGTCTCATTCTCTTCTCATTATACGGAGGCAGGCCTTCCTGGTGGCAATCACATGCCCATTTGTTACTTTGTTGTCTCGTTTAGTAATGAAAATAAGATCACTGTAGATTTATTTTAAAAAAAAATTGAAGCTTAAAAATTGCTGAACCTTTGTTTTAAGTGGTAACCCAAATTTTTTTCTCTTCAGGTTCAGTAGATAGAACACATTTATGGTTCAGGTTCAGTTCTGGTTCAAATAAAATACCAGCTCAATCTGGTTCTGGTTCAACTGCCTGACTCTACTGAGGGTTTTTGTAGATTTCAAATATAGTATGAATTGGTTTCTGACACTGTTTTCTTTCCCAGCCCTGGAGGGATACCCTGCAAGCTGTCACGTTTAGTATCCGGGAAGACGCTTGCTATCCTATACTAACACTGAAACAGCTATGTGATCCTAAATGAATGGAACAAATCTAGACTGGTGATTTAAAGATCTGTGTTCTCTGTAGTTCAGTGTGTCCGCTTACCTAGCACTTGATTTAAAGTATTCATGCAGTGGTGTCAGTGAAAATGAGTGTGTCGGAACAAAGGCAAGTCCATTTATATGGCTCCAGTTATGCCTTGTGCAGGACCCTGCTTTCAATCCTCGTTTCCCATTAAATGTAGTGAGGAGTTTAGCAGACATGCGCAAGTTGTCTTAGTGCTGACCCAATGGATAGCAACTCTGACAAATGAAAAACTGAGAAGCTGATCTGGAGAAGTGCACCATGTCATTAATACTGTACCTTGGTGTGGCCTTTTGTTCTTGGACTATGGCTCATTAGTTCGTGTTTGACGTAATTTTGAAACTGTTTTAAAAAGCCTTTTAAAAAATGTGAGATATACGCAATATATTCTTTTAGCATGGAAAATATGTCGTAGTGGAATAAGTGAAAACATGGGCGGGGGGGGGGAGTTGCTCTTTAATATTGTATTCAGTATGTGCATTTTTTCTGGCTTTCTTTTAAGATTTATTTGAAGCCTGCTTTTTCAAGCCATCGTATTCAGTGCTTCACATTCTGTAAAGTTTAAAGGCCGGTAAGTTTTCAACTTAAAGCAGACCCCAGAATTCTGGCTGCCCTTACAGCACCAGTTTGTGCCTCAGCAGCCATTTTTAACTTGCTCTGTCTTCTTAAAATTTAGCAGAGCAAGGAAGAAAATCTGGATTATTAAATAGGGCCCACTTTAGCTCACTCATTAGAAAGTGCATTAAAAGTGGGAGGAGACCTAAAATGGCTGTTGAAACAGCAGCTCTCCATTTTGGGGAAAGGGGCAGTTTAAAATTTTTCTTTTCTGATCCTTCATTTCCCACATATCTACTAACTTTTCACCACCGCTTTAACTTAATGGAAATGAGGGTTTTATAATCCTTATGAGGATAAACACTGCCTGGGTGTATCAGCAGAAAGGCCAACAGGGCCAGTTGGAATGTGTCCTTGGACAGTAGGGGATCACAGCTATGCTCCAATTCCACGTTGTGCATTAGTTGCATTCTAGCAGCGGGTCTGAGAGATTCAGACTATTTGGATGCATGATTTATTGATCCCTGTGAGTTTATACTGATGTACTAAGTAGTTTACATAATTAGGCTGAAGGTGATGATTCAGAAGAACATAATGGATTAAATTATGTAACAAATTACATGAGGGGATTAAACACTTCTTTATGATGGAATGTGCATTAGAGTGTAACATTATGAAGTATCCTGTTTTGCATTACAGATTTGGTTGGCCTAGTGCATTATTTTTTTCCCTTAAGATGTTCCTTTCTTCGCCCCAATCTCCTATTCCTGTTAAGATCTTTTGTCTTTGTCCTTTTTTCATTAATGGGTCCTAGAGAACAGGAAGAGAAATCATTCCATTTGATACTGATTAAATCTATATTGCAACACGACATTCAGTTTTGGACACTGTTTTTAAACAAATGGGAGAAGAGCAACTAGTTACAAAAACTTTTTTTGAAAATGAGCTTTATTAAGAAATGTAGGCATGCTCCATCGAGAGACATCACTGTCTACAGTTGTGAAGTGGGGCACTTGTAAAGAGGAAAGGAATAATTTATTCTCATTCGTCACAAAGGACAAAACAAAAATAAGTTAATACTAAACCAGGCAGAATGGATATTGACTACTAGGATGTACATGTTGCCAAAGAGGTTGTACAGTTGCCAATTTAGGATGAAATGGAGAAAGGGACGAGATATTCCAGCTCTCGACTAAGTCATCACTTAATTAGGACCTTTTCCTGGTGAAATTTGGGTGCAGAGGGCCATGATGATGCCTCAGTACCACTTATTCCTGCCAAAACTCCCTCTGCAAGTTAGAGGAACTCTCCCAGCAATGTATTTTACAGTTTGGTGAGACTGATGCTTCAGGGCTTTAAAGACATGCAAGATTTTCATTTCCTTTAAGATGGTCCTTTTGATAAACAAATGTATGTAAATGAGCTTCATTGGGCAAATCCCCTTTTGGCATAGGCTCCTTTGGTCCTTCTTATGCTAGATCAAACGTTTGGCAAACATGTTTGTAATTAAATGCTTACTCTGTCTAGCACAGGGACTCTCAAACTAGAGGTCGGGGGGTCATAAGGTTATTACCTGGGGGGGTTGCAAGCTGTCAGCTTCCAACCCAAACCCCGCTTTGCCTCCAGCATTTATAATGGTGCTAAATATATTAAAAAGTGACTTCAGTTTCTGCACTCAGAGGCTTCCTATGTGAATGGGGTCACCAGTACAGAAGTTTGAGAACCACTGATCTAGCATCATCTCCACAATGATTCATTGTAGTCTTAGTCTACTGGATCTTTTTTTTGTGCAGTTTCCCTAAGCTAAATGTTTCTTTCAGATTTGGATGTTGACCATCTAAAGCCCTCAAAAAAGGCCCTCACATTAGGGGGGCCTTTAAGTTTCATTAAAGGTTAATTCATATACCAAACTTTCCACTAGTCCGAGCTTGCAAATGGTGGATAACTTAAAGAAACTGCTGTTGAAAAAAATTTGCATATGAGTTGTGATGTATAAATGGCAGCACTGCCCTATCCTAAACCTGGTTTGTCTCTATGCCACAGCACATTACTGT